TCTCTTCCTGGGGCCTTATTTTTTGCTATTTCCTTCAAAGCAGCTTGAACTTCTTCCCTCATCACCACAGGCTCTTGCTCCAATGTTATTTCATTAAATTATTCTGTATCTGCCAATTCCTTTCAATACAATGACTCAGTATATTCCTTCCATCTTCTTTTAATACTTCCTGGATCATTTAATATTCTGCTTAAAGCATCCTTGATTATAGCAACTCTAGGTTTGAATTTGCTCTTCAGTTCCTTAAGCTTAAGAAATGCTGAACGAGTTCGGCCCTTTTGATTTTCCGACTCTACCTCCTCGCACACTGCTTTGTATACTTTCACCCAAATCATGACAAAAGATTACAAAGTACTACAGCTTGCGAGAGGCTTTCTCTTCAGAGGAACAAGTAAGCTAAGTAAATTGTACTCAAAATTTCCAATGTAAAGAAAACAATGTGATGTGCAAAAAAGGAGGAAAATTAGAGTGCAGAGTAGAATGGAAATTTTTCACTGTAAAAAAAAACAACCCAGTGCCATCAAATTGATTCTAACAGAACTGCCCATAAGGTTTCCAAAGCCTTTACAAGAAGCAGACTGCCTCATTTTGTTCCCACAGAGCAATAAGTAGATTCCAACTGCCAACCCTTCGTTCAGCAGTCAAATGCATTATACAACTGACAAAGCTCTTATTTAGTATTTTTTAAAATACTGATGCATTATCCACGCAAACTAAAAAGGAGGAAAATGGCAAAAAAATCAAGTTATATAAATAACTAAAAAGCTAAATAGGAGATGATAGAAATATGAATCTAGCAGAGTTACACATAGGATGCAGCTTTAAGAAACAAGAATCAGATGTCTAGGAAATAAGAGGGCTGGCAGATTTATTAGGCTAGTTAGCATAATTCAAAGACAAAAAATATTGTCCTAGCAGACTCATCTGCCAGGAAAACAAACAGATTCATCTTGGAGAGGATTAAACCAAGCTACTCCTTGGAGGCAAGGATTCTGGGGCTTCGTCTGACATACTTTGGACATGTTGCCAGGAGGGATGGGTCCTTGGAGAGGGACATCATGCTTGGGAGGGTGGAGGGACAGCGCAGGAGGGGAAGACCCTCTATGAGATGGATCGATTCAGTGACTGGGGTAATCGGGATCGGTGTGTCAGAGGCAGTGCGGTTGGCACAGGATAGAGCAGGGTTTAGGGCTGTTATGCATAGGGTCGCTATGAGTCGGAAACGACTCGACGGCACATAACAACAACAACAACAGCAGACTCATCAGGACTGGAGAAAGATGTTGCAGTTCCCTTAGGCCTGACCATTTCCTCAAGGAAGCCGGACAATATCTTCACAAGGCAACTAGATGACCAAATCCTAATAAGGACCTAGGCCTGATCATATCCTGAGAACACCCTTATTTCAAATTCCTGAGCAAAATACTATACCCTTTAAAATCTCAACAGCCCCTACCTGCACACCATTCTGACCACCTCTGTGCTCAGTCCCTCTCAGGTCTACTTAATAAGGGCCTATTCATTTCTTGGGACCAGCTTCTTCTTTTCTCTCTTTGCTCTAACACTGGACTGTATAATAAAGATGTTCAAACTGAACCTCTCTAATGAACCTGATGTACCCTGTGCTCCAGTTCCTTATGCTTGGACATAAACCACAAACTGTACCAATAAGATGTTCACCAAGAAAGTGACAAGCTCACCTGTAATATATCAATCCCCAGGAGCAGCTTGATGAGACTCTTGGAGTAAGGTGTGCCCATGCTGTAAAAAACAATGTTCTCCATTTTATTTCTCATTATAATGTTTTGATGTTTTTCTTCGTAAAACTATTTCAAGAAATACTCTTTAAAGAAAAACCACCATTACTTTAGCTAAGTAAGAAATACAGAATACAAAAAGATGGATCTTTTTTTTTCTTTTCTTTTTTACAAACCCTTGTGTCGAGGGCTGACTTTCAATAGATCGCAGCGAGGTAGCTGCTCTGCTACGTACGAAACCCCGACCCAGAAGCCGGTCGTCTACGAATAGTTTAGCACCAGGCTCCCCACGAACGTGAGGTGCGTGACGGGCGAGGGGGCGGCCGCCTTTCCGGCCGCTCCCCGTGTTCCGGCCGCTCCCCGTGTTCCCGGGACGGAGGGCGCTCCGTACCGGACCCCGGTCCCGATGTGCGGCGGGGGACCGGCTATCCGAGGCCAACCGAGGTTCCGCGGCGCGGGATTCTGACTTAGAGGCGTTCAGTCATAATCCCACAGATGGTAGCTTCGCCCCATTGGCTCCTCAGCCAAGCACATACACCAAATGTCTGAACCTGCGGTTCCTCTCGTACTGAGCAGGATTACCATGGCAATAATACATCATCAGTAGGGTAAAACTAACGTGTCTCACGACGGTCTATCTTAAGAAAAGAAAAGCTGAAATGCAACACAAGTGAGACATACTCTAGAAAAACCTTCTGGTTCTTGGCCTTATAATCATAAGCCTACTAGTTCTAAGGGTGAAACTTTGATGAAAAGAAAGCTATAATTCAAAAGTTAAATGAAAAAAACACTATGGTCTCCCCTCTCCAATCACTACCACCAATGCAGTGAGTATAACAGAGTGAATTTCAACAAGACACTAAGTCTCTTCTCCACACCTGGCTTCCTCATCTTGCAGCCGCTCACAAGACAAAAGGCAGCTCCTGAAATGGCTTTGGTCCTCAATGTAAGACTCCAGGCCACTAACGAATTCTTCTATTATCTTCATAAGGAGATCAAAAAGAGGAAGAGGGGGAATAAGATGGTTAGTCTGATATTTGCTGTTAGTCAGTGTTTTTGTCCCAATTCCAGAGCATGGCTGGTAAAAGTGCCAGGGCGAAAATACGTACTTGAGGGTAGGAAGGATGTCTCCGCAGGGCCTGCAAAAGCTTCTTCTGGAAAACTATCTGATCAACAGCTACGGGTGAAAGGAATAAATGATCACCAAAACACTTAACATCTCTCACCAGCTCTAAGATTTTGTCTGATGAAATCAATAACTACTGATTTAATAATTTAATGGCAGAATCAAAATTTCTAAAACCGAAAGGGCTTTGATAGAATATATTCTAAGAAACACCTGCCACACTTCTATCAGGCTTGAACAAGCGATACTACAAACATACTGCCTTGCATGGCTTTACAATGTTCTTCTGAAGTTATTCTAACACAGATCTAATTTGTTTCTGAATATTAATTCCCCCCTTCCCCGCAATGAAGAAATACTAGCATATACATTTTTCCCCATAGAAGGATTAGAACTATTTTACTTAAATATACTAATAAGGACCAGGAAAAGATGGCAACAATATTCCCTAAAAATGTTAATTCTGTGCTGATCTCAAGATGGATGTCCTGCCAATTTAAAATCCTCATTGTCTCTATGGCCAGAAAGTCTATACTGGTCTTTTGACTAAGTACAGGAGACAGAGAAAAAGCATTACCTAGCTGATTCTGACTCTCTCCTGTTTTAAGTGTAATTCCCGATGTCTTAAGCAGCTCTATAAATACATTGCCATCTTCTTCAACTTCAATATGAACCTGTGATTTCTTTATCTTTTTGGAAAGCAGTAGCTTCTTGGCTTCTGAAAATAGATTTTTAAAAAGGTATTTTTAAAATGTGACAAAGTAAGTTAAAGATTAAAATACAAATCCATAAACAATAGGGAGCTCTGGGTGGCCTAGTGGTAAGGAGTTGTAACGCCAATCCTAGGGCATGCACTTTGAATCCATCAGCTGTTCCATGGGATTAAGAAGGGCAATCTCCTCCTGTGTGACTTAAAACCTCTGAAAATCTGCTAAAGGGTTGGCTATGAATCAGTTTCAACTCAACAAGAAACAACAAATAGAAAGTTGCACAGTTAATATTAAGGTGGTGCTTCCCTGAAGGTTTGAATCTACCAGTGGCTCTATGGAGAAAGACGAGTAATCTTCTATTTTATGTATAGTGTAAGAAAACCTTCTGGAGGATGAGAACTGAGTCAGTTCTGACTTCATGGCAATGAGAAAGAGAATAAGAAATAGCTTTCAAATCAACAAATTAGCAATGCCTTAATAGAATAAATGTGTGCAATGGGTGAAAAGGATTATCAGCCTCATCTCTTGGCTTCTGCCAACCATATTCTCATAAGCACTGCCTGTACTGTTTCTTTGCCTCTAATGTGTCTGCTTTGATATGGTGTCTTTCCTTTATATATTACTAACACTAGGGAGTTCTGATTGCTTAGTAGTTAAGAAACTGTGCTGTTAACCCAAAAGTAAGCAGCTCTAATCCACCAGCTGCTCCACAGGGGAAAACTGGGTAATCTCCTATGCTATTTACTGCCTCTAAAAACCTAGGAGGGTCAGATATGAGTTGGTTTCAACTTGGCCGTACTCAACAACATCTTAACACTTACCTAGCCATATTTAAAAAAAAAAATGACAGGTCTTTTTTTTTCAGCAAGAAAGGTCAAATACTATATTGTACCTTTATGCCAAAATAATGTATAGCAGGTAAAGCCTTTAACACTAATCTCAATTATAGATGTGGAAACTCAAGTGTGGGAAGCCAAAGTTCTTACCAAATATTGTATGATAAACTGTATGCTTATTTAGAAATTGAAGGAATCACAAAATTCTAAGTTGGACTTTCTCTTGTGACAGATCACAGGAAATGAGCTGCTTCCTGCTGACCAGAGGTAGCTAGGTCCCAGGCAGGGGAATGTGAAAGTCTATACTTGTGAACTACTTCCTTGTGAGCTAAGTATCAGGTTGACAAAAGAGAAGAAATTCAGCTTCATTTACAAGAGAATTCTCTTTATGATTTGCTTTCCCTGATACTCAATACACAGAGAAGCATGGCTTATGGAGCTTTAGTTGATTAGAACTGCTGACCACTTGTTTTTTTACACTATGTTTTATCGCATTCTTGGTATTTTGTCTCGTTATTAATTATTAATATATTGTACCCTCGGTCTGTAACATTCAGGCACAGATTGTGGAAATATTTGGAGTTACATGTGGAATTAGAGGCAACAATTTAATCCCAAACTTCTGATACCAGATGCTGTGTTTTCCATATCTTCATAACTCCCGACACTTTTAAAAAGTAGGAACGCTGAATCACTTTAACTGTCCCATACATTTGCTACAAGAAATGACTAGATACTTACTGGAGGCATCTTCTATTGCATTTTCGTTACCTTCAGATTTTGACAGTTTTCTTTTGGAAACCATTTCGTTCAAAGACTTCTGCAGTCAAATCAGAACAAAATCAGAGAAGTTACTCTCTAGAAATCAGACCCAGTAGAAAACCGCTCTACTTAAAATCAGAGGGGTTCTAGTTTTTATTCTAATGGTACCTAAATCTAGGTGATGAGGAATTTTTTTTTTTTTAATTTAGGTTATTTTTCATTTCAGTGAACATCTACAGAGATTTTGGGATTGCATTCATTCATTGTTGCACCCTTCTCCCCGCACAAACCCCTTCCCCCCCCATTTGCTCCTCTCCCTGAAAAGCAAAAGAAAAACTCCCTCATTGGTACACAATCCCCACGCCCCCCGCACCTCCCCAACCCCCACCCCCTAGCCCCAAATATAATCCACTCTACAACCCTCATTGTATACTCCTACGATAAAAATAATGCCCTAAAATATAATACTTTTAGACTATTCTCTCCCCCATAGACTTCAATGCCGTAATGATGAGGAAATTTTAACTTTTCTGTCTGGTCAGGATTCCCTAGCTCTTGAGAATGATTTGTTATCTAGATTTGTCTTGAGCCAGACCAGTAGACTCTTGCTAAGGGTAAAATCGATAGTTCTTTGACATTTAAGATACATCATCATCCAACCCTTTTCCCCCCTTTCCTTTAACTAATTCAATACTATATGTAACCTACGTGATGCAGATGACACAACCTTGCTTGCTGAAACTGAAGAACTGAAGCACTTGCTGAAGAAGGTCAAGAACTATAGTCAAATATGGATTGAAGCTTAACATCAAGAAGACAATGATTTTCACCACTGGTCCAACTGGCAGTACCATAATAGATGGAGAAGAATTTGAGGTTGTTGACAATTACAGCTTGCTAGGCTCCACAATCAACACTCTTTTAACATCAGCAGTTAGGAAATCAAAAGATGAACTGGATTAAGAAAATCTGCTGTCAGGGCCTCTCCAGAGTGCTAACATTTTAGCAATGATGTCAGTCTAGAGACTAAGGTGTGCCTGATCCAGGCCATGGTCTTCACAATTACTTGCTATGCATTAGAGAGCTGGATAATGACTAAAGATGACAAAGAAGAATCGATGCCTTCAAATTGTGGTGCTGGAAAAGAGTCCTGAACAAATCATGGTCACCAAGAAAACAAATAGGTCTGTCTTGGAGAGGGTGAAACCAAGTCTCTCCTTGGAGGCTAGGATTTTGAAGCTAGGATTTCTCACATACTTTGGGCATGTAGCCAGGAGAGACCAGTCCTTGAAGAAGGACATCATGCTTGGAAGAGTGGAAGGACAGCACAGGAGAGGAAGACCTCAAGTGAGATGGATTGATGCAGTAACTGGGGCCAGAGAGGTTGGTGTGTCAAAATCAGTAAGACTGGCTCAGGACAGGGAAGAGTTCAGAGCTGCTGTACATAGGGTCGCAGGCAACTTGACGGCACATAACAACAACATATGTTACAGGCTGAGTTAGATGCCAGGATTACAACTGTGAACAAGAGAAGCATGATGTTTAACCCTCAGAAATTTACTATCAAGACTGTCGTAAAAGCCCTGGCGGCACAGTGTTTGAATACTCTGCCAAGTACAGGAAGATGAGGGAACAGTCTGCTCTTATGTTAACTACATGGGATGGCAAAGAACTGGGCGGTATTTCACTCCATTTTGCATGGGGCTAATGTTAACCAATGGAGTTTTGGTGGTGTAGTTCACAAGGAGTTGTGCTAAGTTTTCCTGGAGGTTCAAGTTCCAATTAGGAGAAAGATGGGCCTTAACCTCCTGTGCAATTTACAGTATCCAAAAACCCACTAAAGGTTGTTCTAACACAGTGCCAATGAGTCTGAGTTTAATAAGAACAAGGCCAACTTGACAGCACCCAACAACAGTAACATCATCACTGAAGGATTCTCCTAAGGCCTTCATTAAATCAAATTAGATTATGGGGCTCCAGCACAGTATATGATACAAAGAAAATGCTGGAGAAAGTTCATTTAGTGAGAATGCCTTGCAGGAAATGTAAAATACTAATAGCATTAATTATGCAGCAAGAACTGTTACATGCTTTATACGTAATAATTTAAGTATCACAAAAATTTTTAAAGCAAGGGCCATTATTATTCTCCTATTCAACAGCATAAGCAGTTCTGGCGGCCTAATCGCAAAGAGCTGCGCTGCCAATCTAAATATGCCAGGTTCGAATTCCGCAGCTGACTCACGGGAGAAACGACGGGCAATCTGCTGCCTTGTGATTTCTTGCTGTTTGCCATAGAGTCAAGCATGACACATAGCATAGCGACCCTATGAACAAAAGGCCTGTCTTTCTATAACTATCGACATTTATCAAAGTTCATAGTTTCTGGAGGTATGTTGTTTAGAAAATGGATGTCACTCCTACCTCCAACTCTGTGATTTACTGCTTCTGAAAACCTGCTGGAGGTTCTCGCTTGATAGTTCGCAATGGCAGAGCTGTGATTCTAACGCTACTATCTCCCTCTGTACTTACTTACACTTAATTATAATGACTTCCAATAATGTTAACATTTAGATGTGCCAGGCTATTGTAAACTTTTACGTATCTATTGCCTGATTTAATCCTCATAATCTTTATCAGCCTTTTTGCAGATGGAAAAAATAAAACTCAAAAATTACACACGCAAATCAGGATGGGCTGACTGTAAGACACACACTCTTAACTCGTCTTTAGGGAAGCCTGAAGGGTGGGAGGTGGGGCCAGGTGCCTGTACCCAGTAAACTCTGTGTGTGGTGGGGAAGGGGTTAAAATGTATGAAGTCCTTTTCAACATCCGAATAATACAGGAAGGTATTTGAAGAGATTATCCGAAGATAAGCCGCATAAAGAGGATGGAGTAGTGACGCTCTAGAGGGAAAGGCTGTGTCAGCTCGGAACTAGACACGGGGACGCCGGCGCCTGAGGTCGTAAGAAGTTCCGACTCCGATTTACTCACCGGTGGCGACAGACACCGCGACTTTGAGTTCTCCATTTTCCCGCCACTCGAGTTGCCGCGGTGACGACATAAGTCTGCGCCGGAAGTGCTCCGCGCGCTGAGCTCTCGCGAGATGGTAGGCTGCCAGTCCCCTGGGCCCCCCACCCGCCGCAGGTGAGGTAGGAAGGCCTGCGGTGAACCGTGAAAGAAACCTCCGCGCTCTGAAGAGAAATTCGGTCACTCTTCTCCGGGGATCGTCTCTCAGTGAACATGGCGGGACCGGAGCTACTGTTGGACTCCAACATCCGCCTCTGGGTGGTCCTGCCCATCGTTATCATTACCTTTTTCGTAGGCATGATCCGCCACTACGTGTCCATTCTGCTACAGAGCGACAAGAAGCTTACACAGGAGCAAGTGTCAGACAGGTCAGCGCACTCCCCTCTGCGGTCAACTTCACACTCCCGTGACCTTGGGTCAAGTGCAGAGGTTATGTCAGTTTCTCAGGTTTGCATAGAACTCCATTGACTCTCTTAACCCCTGGTCAGGTTTCTCTCTCTCTCTCTCTGTCTCTCTGTCTCTGTCTCTCTCTCGTTTCTCTCTCTCTCGTTTCTTTCTCTCTCTCTCTCGTTTTCTTCATCTGTAAAGTGGGAATCATTGGAGTATCAGTGACAAGCTTGCATAAGGGATAAAGTTGTTGTTAGGTCTGCGTTCGAGTCGAATACCGACAGGTTCATAGCAACGCTGTGAACAACAGATCTGAACCCTGTGCCATCTGTGTTATCCTCATCATCTCTGACATACTGGAGCCCATTGCTGTTGTCATTGTGTCAGTCCTTCTGGTTAAGGGCCTTCTCTCTTTCACTGATAATCCACCATCATGATGTCAGAGGCTTTTGGGCATGTTGTTAAGAGAAGCTGTACTTGGCAAGGGCTTCATGCTTGGAAGGATTAAATTAGGTGATGGTGTCTATTAAGACCTTGGCACAAGGGCGATACTATTAAGTGCTCAAAAACGTTTTGATTATTGTTAGACTAGTTGCTATCCTTGAATGAATGGGCTCACCTACAAATTATTTAGCTTTATATTTTGCCAGGGGGAAAAAAATACCACTCAAGTGCAAGGTGCATGCTTCCTTTACTCTTTGTAGCACACTTTCAAATCACAACCAGAATTTTGTGATGATCAGCTGAGATACTAAATAACAAAATCCTTGCACACAGTGAAAAGGAAATTATTGTCATTTCATTTCCTGGTGCGTAGGCAGTTTTCCCTCATGGATGAATGACATTTATTTGCATAGACAAGTAGTTTGAGATTATTTTAGATAGTACCTAAACAAGTGCCCTTATATTAAAATAATAACTTTTCAGTCACTCTTTCTGATGTTTTCAAAGTATGTCAGAAATGGTTTAGAACGCACAGGGTAGGGCAGAGTTCATTCAGATGCATTGTTTATAGGGTCGCTATGAGTGGTATTCAACTCCACCACCACATATCCATTTCCTGCGACTGCCTTACAAAGCCTCACAAAATGGGTGACTGAAAATCCAGAAATTTAATGTCTCACTGTTCAGAAGCTAGGAGTCTAAATTGAAGGTATCAGCAAGGCCATGTTCTCTTCAAAGTTTATTTGGGTGAGATCCTTTCTTGCCTCACTCAGATTTTGGTAGCCCCAGACATTCTTTGGTATATATGTGCATCTTCACACAATTATTTTTTCTTCTGTGTGTGTGTTCTTTTTTTTATAAGGACATTGTTCAGATGGGATTAGAACCTGTTCTATCCGTTTGTTGTGTTGTTGTTATGTACTGTTGAGTTGAAATTTGACCCATAGCTGGTGCTCTAGTTGGTTTTCAGAGCCTGTAAATCACAAGATCATCCAATTTTCTCCTGTGAAGGAGCAGCCGGTGGATTTGAACCTCTTGCCTCAGGGTTGGCAGCACAACTCCTTACCACTAAGTCAGGAAAACTCCATGTAGAATACTCAATCTCATTCATTGCCATTGAGTCTGACTCATAGCTGACCCTCCAGTGGGTTTTCAGAGGTTGTAAATGGCTTGAGAACAGATTGCCCATGTTTCTGCTGTGGAGCAGCAGCTAGATGATGGATTTGGACCACTTACCTACTTTTGGGTTAGCACTTTTGGGTTCCCACTAAGCCACCAAAACACCCTACGGAATACTAGGAAATGTTAAAAACCTTGAATCTGTGAAATACAATGTGGATCAACCTTGAGGACTTCATGCTAATGGATAACATTCTCGAATACCTTTTTTCCAAAGTTCCATTGATAGATACCAGGGGTTAGGACTTCAGCATATTTTGGAGGTAATAAGCACGGTTCAGTCTAAGAGACTGTTTCAGGTGTGTGTCACAACATCTTCTCCACTTTGTCACATTTTAGACAGAACAATGGATTCCGTTTTTTCTTTTTTGTAATTGTGGTCAGAGCAGTTGACTGCTGACCACAGTGCCACTGGTTGAAGTCCCCAGTGAGCTTCCTGGGAGAAGGATGTGGCAGTCTGCTTCCTTGGAGACCCAGTTGTGAGTGGGCCTCAGCTTGGCAGCAGTGAGTTTGGATTTTCTGCAAGCAACATTATCTAGCCAAAATTCAGTAAAATCGTTTTGTTTTTATTGTATTGCTTTTAACAGCTAGCTTCTATTTGTAGCAAATCATACTAGTCTTTCATTTGCTGGTAATTGAAGAATTCCTTTGAAAATTTCTATAAGTAGACAGCTAATGTAGAAAAAAAATAAGTACAAAGTGACTGAGATTATAACCATGAATTTTTTTCTTTTTTAAAAAAATTTTATTAATTTTAATGAACATTTACAAAGATTTTGGATTTCCATTTATTCATTATTGCACTTTTCTCCCTGCCCCCACCCCCAGTTCGCTCCTCTCTTTGAAAAGCAAAAGAAAAACTCCTTCATTGGTATACAACCCCCTCGTCCCCCCAACACCACACCCACCACACCCACCTCCCCGCCCCACGTGCACTCCACTATGCAACCTTAATTCTGGACTCTTGTGATAACCATTATACCCTATCATATATCGCTTTTAAACTGTTCTCTCATGCATCTATTTCAATGCAGTGTATATAATTTATCCAGTTTTTCTCAGTCTTACCCCAACCCCTATATCAGTCCCATTCTATAACAGTGGCACTATGCAGTATTTGTCTTTCTGTGACTGAGATATTTTACTCAGCATAATGTCCTCCACGGTCACCTATTTTGAATAATATTGCATGAGTTCCTTGTTTTTCAATGCAGCGTAGTATTCCATTGTGTGACTATACCACAACTTCTCTATCCATTCATTTATTGATGGGCACTTAGGTTTTTCCAACTCCTTGCTATTGTGAACAAAGCCGTGATAAACATGGGTGTGCATATATCTGCTTGGATGGCAGTAATGGTCTCTTTAGGGTATAGTCCCAGTAGTGGAATTGCTGGGCCAAATGGTATCTCTATTTGCAACTTTTTGAGAAAGTGCCACACTACTTTCCATAGTGATTGCACCATTTTACACTTCCACCAACAGTGAATAAGGGTTCCAGTTTCTCCACAGCCTCACCAGCATTTGTTGCTTGCTGTTCTGTTAAATTTTGCTATTCTGACTGGGGTGAGATGATATGTCATAGTTGTTTTGATTTGCATCTCTCTTAGAGCTAAAGATTTTAAACATTTCTTCATGTGCTTGTTGGCCATCTGAATGTCTTCTTTGGTGAAGTGTCCATATCCTGTGTCTATTTTTCAATTGGATTATTTACGGTTATCTTGTTGTGGTGCAACCATGAATTTTTGAGTAGCGCTGCTTTATTATTTTTAGTGTGCCCACAATTATACCGAGAAGATTAAAAAATAGTCAACAATTAAGCACTGGTCCTGTGCCAGACACTATGATAAGCACTGATTTAAGCTCATGAAGTAGGTACTATTGTCCTACTTTACAGTTACAGCCATAAGAGAATACTGTAGTTACCCCATGATCATAATGACATTTAGGATGTGAAGTTGAGTGTTCTGGTTCTCAAGTTCAAGGTGTGATTGTTTTTTCTGTGGCTACAGGTTCAGAACTGATCAGAGCCACCCCTGCCCCCCTGGAGCTAACCTTAAGACGTCAGTTTCCAGCAGAATGGAAGGCTGTGTTTTGTTATATGCTGTCAAGTCACCTGTGACTATCAGAGACCATATGTATGACAGTTCTAAACCCTGCCTTATTCTGAGGCAATCTCACTGACTCCAACACACCTAATCCCCTTGGCCCAGTTGGCATGTCAGTCCATCTTATCTAAGGTTATTCTCTCCTGAGCTGTCCCTGCACCCTTCCGAATATGATGTCCTTCTTGAGGACTGGTCCTTACTGGTCACATACCCAGAGTATGTGAGACAGAGCTTCAAAATCCTTGCCTTCAGGGAGAAACTTTGTTTCAAACTCTCCAAGACAGACCTATTTGTTTTCCTGGCAGTCCATGATATGTCCAGTACTCTTTTCCAGCACCACAAATCAAAAGCATCAGTTGTTCTGTCATCCAAAGTCATTGTCTAGCTCTCTGATACATAGCAAGCAGTTGCGAAGACCATGGCCTGGATCAGGTGCACCTTAGTCTCTAGACTGATGTCATTGCTCCTCAGCATGCTGGCGAGGTCCCTGACATCAGACTTCCCCAGTACAGTTTGTCTTTTGATTTCCTGGCTGCTGGTACCAAGAGTGTTGATTGTGGAGCCAAGCAAACCGAAATTGTTAACTTCGTCAATCTCTTCTCCATCCATCATGAAGCTACCAGTTGACGATATAACAGAATGAAAAGTAGAAAGAGCTTAGGCATTCTGCATTTATGGACTCCCAATAAATTGTTCTCATTTTATCCTCACAACATCATCACGGAGTCCACAGTAATAGATATATTCCTAATCTTGTTTTTACAGTTTAAGGAAAGGAAGCCCAGAGAAGTTAAATAGCCTTCATAGAGTAACCTATACTTGAACCCAGATAAATCTCACTCCCAAGTGAAATCCACTTAATCACAATTTTGTTCTTCTGAATTCTCTGCTATAGCGATAGCGGTCTACCCTTAGTGCAGTATGTGATTTTAAGCAGTGGTTCAGAATATCATACCAAAACTTCCTTTTCTAACTAAAATGGAAATTGACAGTATAATTAATGCACTATGTACCGTAACAAACAAAAATATCAACTTAATACTCTAGCTATAAGATCAGAAAACATGAAAAGGAAGTAGTTTGCAGTAAGACAATATGTATTTCATAAGTGCTTTGTACACACCTATCCTTGTCCTGCAGAACTCAGATGCATGGTTCTAACTATATTGTTGTTGATTGCCTTCTAGTCTAGCACGGCCCTATGAACAAAGGGCCTGAAGCCCCTCTACGACTATGGACATTTATCAAAG